ACGCTCCCAGATGAACGTTATAATTAACCCAAACTCACAACATGCAGAGATGGAGTTTGAGACGCTCTACACATGTAAACGATAACAGTTCCTGTAGAACTACTGTGACACGTACTTAACCTACACGCCTATAACTGCATCAACATATAATCATTTAATTAAATCGTAGCATTTGTGAATCCACAGTTATGCTTAATTATGATTTTTAAACGGGTTTAATATATCATGAGGCCTTGGAAAACAGTCTAATAATGTGTTTTATGGATTCTCGTCTGTGAAATGTGGCACTTCCGGTATTTTGCCGGTTAGTCGACGCAGGCAAAATGAAGTCGAAGATTTTTAAAAATCGAATAGTTGAATAGAATCGACTAATCGCGACAGCCCTACAAGTAACACTGTTAATATTCATAGAATATAAACTTTTTACCCATTAAAAGCAAATTCAAAAGTATTTTAGTAAAAAAAAATATATATATATTATTTATTTGGAATATTCAAGCACCTTAATATTTTTGAATATATTTTTTATACCCATTTCAAAGAAAATTCTAAAGTATTTGAATATATACAAAAAAAGCAAAAGTATTTAGGTGTTTGAATATTCAATAAGTACAGACATAATATATAAAAGCATATGGTACATTATAACAGTTACATTATATTATATCTAGATTTATAGAATATTAAAAACACCTCAATATTTTTGCATTTAAATTTGCTGGCAATATAAAATGAAGCAACATAGAAAAAAAATTCCTCTTGTTAACCATTTCAAAGCAAATTCAAAAGTATTGAGATATTTGAATATTCAAACAAAAAATAACTACCACTGTGTAAACTGAATTGTGATTGTTTTGAAACTGGTTTCTGTCTGCCATTGGTTGTAAAAAGGTAGTCCCACCCTAAACTCCAGGCCAGTGTTTGAGGCAGAATTTGGCACGATAGACCAGCCGCTCAGACAAACAGCGCAATGTTTAGATAGCACCACAGTGTTTGCACTTTTTTATTTCCTTATGGTTGACACTGCATGTTAAACTGGTTTAGGAGATTGTATTTTAACATCCAAATTACTATGATCAGTTGAAAGTAGTAAAACTTTAAGTAGCATAACTACATTATTCTGTACTGTACTTTTCACACTTCAGAAGAAAGTAGATGAATGCATTTTGACTGGATGATTTGCAGAAAGTGGTTTCTAAGAATAGTGAAGTATCAGCACAAAAGTTGCTGACCTGGTCAGTGCATTTTGCTGTGGGTGAGGTGAATGTTTTTTGTCTTATTTGTCTAATATGTTTTGCATCATAGCTTTTATCCAGTTGCTTAACACCAGTCAAACAATCAAGCCTCTCGATGAAATGCTAATATGTAGAATTAGACAAGCCTAATTATTGTGACCAACAGTGGTGAAATCTTACTGAATTCACTCATTTTTAGAAACAGCCCAGCCATTTGTAAATCAAATATTCAAACTCTGTTTTTTCTTTTTATCCATGAATATATGAAAAATCAAGCTTTTTGCCTATTTGTTTTTAAATGGGGAAAAACAAATGGTTTAAATACACCCATACTGATGTGTCTGATATTGCTGTCTTTTGTCTTTGATTTGTTTTAAAAAAAAAGAGGTGGGGGGAAGGCTGTGATATTTTATACTTTAATGGGTGTTCATGGATATGATTCCCAGATAATGCTTGAATAAATAGTATAATTGAAGTAAATGTGTAGTAGAAGTAAATGAATACAGGAAATAAAATAGGTCTGTAAAAATCTGTCAGTGTTGATAAGGCTGATGTTGTTTGTCTTTAGGGAGTCGTGCCTATGTGCTGCTGTCCCTCAGCCAGCAGGATGGCATCGAGCAGCACATGGACTTTGACAACCGCTACACCCTGCTGGAGCTTTTTGCAGAGACCACCTCCTCTGAGGAGCACGGCATCTCCTTTGAGGGCATCCATCTTCCACAGGTGCTCATCTTCATTTCCACTCTAGTCTGAATAACTCTCCAAAACCTAGTCAGGTACCTTGTTGTCTGCTGGTAGCGTGCTAACCCAGATTGAATCCCATAAGTGATGATTTATGACAGCAGCTCATACAACACACCAAATGCTACTACCATGAAGTGCGTGAGATGCAATGCACAATTAATTTTTTATTTGACAAAACAAGGTGTCTTATAAGCCTTCATATTGGGAATGCACCTGTGTTGTCTAAGTAGGCAACTTGCAAGGTTTTGCTAAGAGTACTTAAAGGCATGTGACAATGTGATACGTGCGACAAACATCTTCCCAAATTCGTAATCATAAATCTGCATGCTGTTGTCAACAAAAAGAAGCACGGAGATCTTCCTGCGGGTTTCTGCTAAAATAAAACATTCATAAATGTTAGTATTGTAATTTTACTGTTGTTCTTTAAAATAAAAAGACAATAATAATGATAATAATAATTACCCTACAACAGCTCTATTAAATCATTTATTATAACATTCACACATAGTGTTCTAATTGGGATCTGTAATATATTCTAATGTTTTAAAAGAATTATTTTCTGCTCAGCAAGGCTGCCTTTATTTGTACTGTAAAAATACATGCCTGATTCAAGTCTCAAAAATGGCCAAAACATTTTTTTACTAACTTATTCATTTTAAGTTAAATCGTGCTTTGCTGGTATAATGTCTAGAATGTAAAAAAAAAAATTCAGTATTAAGTAAATATTTTTAAATAGTTGTTTTGTAATTGATTTTTTATTTGAAAAGCAAATAACACAGTGGGATCTGTTATTTTTTACTTTATTTGTTATTTACTTCGGCCCAGTGTTTCATTTTGTTAAATAACAAATTATTTAATTTCAGCTAGTTTCCAAAGCAACATTTCTCATTTTCATTTAAAATAACTAAAATTAATATTCAAATAAATTAATAAAAACTATATAGACATTAAAAAAGCGATGACTAAAAAAATGACAAAAATTACATTTTATGTTACCCAAATAAAAAACGGAAAATACAAAAATAGAAAAGCTATAATCGTATCTAAAATAATAGATGCTAAAATAACACTGATTTGAAATTTATATCCAAAGAATAAATTTCTAAGATCTGTTGCTTGGACTCTCTTTGTCATTGACACTGTACAAATGTTTTTGTGTAAGAAATTAAGAATTTGTTTGTCTGTTGTAGATTCCAGGCAAGCTGCTTTTCTCTCTGGTGAAGCGTTACTTGTGCGTCACTTCATTGATGGACAAGCTAAACACGGCGGGGGTGGAGCCCACCTCTGAGCGTCAGGATGTTGGCCCCTCCTCCTCCACGGCAGCCTACCAATCGGAGCACGCTCGTGTGCAGCGGGAGTTCGAGTTCACCATGGCCATGGCCAACCTCATCTCGGAGCTGGTGCGCGTCATGGGCTGGGACCGCAACCGGCAGCTGCCCCTGACCTCCACACGCGCAAGCAGAGGGGTTGAGGAAATAAATAACGAAATCCAGAAACACACCGTCCGCTCCATCTTTCAGCCGCGCTTCTCAGCTTCGTCTTCTTTCATGGCCACTACAGCAATGGCTGCGGTCACGCCACCAAAGAAAAAGAAAACGGCAAACGGTTTCAAGACGCGTTCTGACTTCACTTCTCGTTCAGCTTATGTGGAGTATGTGCAGGACAACCTGAAGAGTGGCATGATGGTCCGTATGCTGGAGGACTATGAGGAGGTCAGCGCCGGGGATGAAGGAGAGTTTCGTTACAGTAACGACGGCTCGCCGCCGGTGCAGGTTAGTGCTGTGTGCATTCATGGAGCTCAGTATCAAACACTTTATATGCTGCTCTCATTTTAGGGCTGCACGATAAATCGAAATGAAATCGCAAAAGCTGCGATTGTCATGCGCATCTTGTCAGTGAAGCACGGTTGTGTGATCCGTAGTAAATCTCCATCCAAATGCCAGAGGGCGCTCTCGCGCTGAAACTCCAAATATGCCCTGCAGAAGAAATCTAGGAAATCCCTATCGATGCAGCTGAATAACCAGAAGATTTAAATGCTTTCATTGATTCAGTTTGACTAATAAACACACGTCTATGACAATATATGGTATATCGGAGTTCTTCTTATTATAATTTTCCTTATAATAAAGTATATAATCAGTATTAAGTAAATATTTTTAAATAGTTGTTTTGTAATTGATTTTTTATTTGAAAAGCAAATAACACAGTGGGATCTGTTATTTTTTACTTTATTTGTTATTTACTTCGGCCCAGTGTTTCATTTTGTTAAATAACAAATTATTTAATTTCAGCTAGTTTCCAAAGCAACATTTCTCATTTTCATTTAAAATAACTAAAATTAATATTCAAATAAATTAATAAAAACTATATAGACATTAAAAAAGCGATGACTAAAAAAATGACAAAAATTACATTTTATGTTACCCAAATAAAAAACGGAAAATACAAAAATAGAAAAGCTATAATCGTATCTAAAATAATAGATGCTAAAATAACACTGATTTGAAATTTATATCCAAAGAATAAATTTCTAAGATCTGTTGCTTGGACTCTCTTTGTCATTGACACTGTACAAATGTTTTTGTGTAAGAAATTAAGAATTTGTTTGTCTGTTGTAGATTCCAGGCAAGCTGCTTTTCTCTCTGGTGAAGCGTTACTTGTGCGTCACTTCATTGATGGACAAGCTGAACACGGCAGGGGTGGAGTCCACCTCTGAGCGTCAGGACGTTGGCCCCTCCTCCTCCACGGCAGCTTACCAATCGGAGCACGCTCGTGTGCAGCGGGAGTTCGAGTTCACCATGGCCATGGCCAACCTCATCTCGGAGCTGGTGCGCGTCATGGGCTGGGACCGCAACCGGCAGCTGCCCCTGACCTCCACACGCGCAAGCAGAGGGGTTGAGGAAATAAATAACGAAATCCAGAAACACACCGTCCGCTCCATCTTTCAGCCGCGCTTCTCAGCTTCGTCTTCTTTCATGGCCACTACAGCAATGGCTGCGGTCACGCCACCAAAGAAAAAGAAAACGGCAAACGGTTTCAAGACGCGTTCTGACTTCACTTCTCGTTCAGCTTATGTGGAGTATGTGCAGGACAACCTGAAGAGTGGCATGATGGTCCGTATGCTGGAGGACTATGAGGAGGTCAGCGCCGGGGATGAAGGAGAGTTTCGTTACAGTAACGACGGCTCGCCGCCGGTGCAGGTTAGTGCTGTGTGCATTCATGGAGCTCAGTATCAAACACTTTATATGCTGCTCTCATTTTAGGGCTGCACGATAAATCGAAATGAAATCGCAAAAGCTGCGATTGTCATGCGCATCTTGTCAGTGAAGCACGGTTGTGTGATCCGTAGTAAATCTCCATCCAAATGCCAGAGGGCGCTCTCGCGCTGAAACTCCAAATATGCCCTGCAGAAGAAATCTAGGAAATCCCTATCGATGCAGCTGAATAACCAGAAGATTTAAATGCTTTCATTGATTCAGTTTGACTAATAAACACACGTCTATGACAATATATGGTATATCGGAGTTCTTCTTATTATAATTTTCCTTATAATAAAGTATATAATAATGCAATGCCTTTATCACTGCTTAGAATACTATGAAATATGTTACGTGTCTTATTCTGTGTAAGAAGCCACATCTCACAGAAGGATTTATTTCAAACACTCGACTGACGTTATGAAGTGAGTTTGGAGTAAAAACATGTTATTAAATGTGGTATTTTCATGTGCTTTCAGATGGAGCAGCATTTACTACACAGAGCCATATTTCACTGAGAAGCTACGCAAACAGCTTTCATTATCGCAGAACGATATCTTCGATTTCATTATCACGCGATTAAATCGTCTGTGATTATGAATGCGATTTTGTGTAGCTTGTCGGTGAACTACGGCTCTGTGTAGTAAATGGTGCTCCATCTGAAAGCACGTGCTGGAGATTTACTACTAATCATGGAACCGGCTTTACTGATAAAATGCGCATGACAATCACATTCGATGAATCGTGCAGCTCTAGTAGACACTGAAGAACTTTAGGTTATGTATGGTTTACAAGCACTGACGAAATATGGCAGTAATTCCACGCTTATTTACTTTGGACAGATAATTGCATTGTGATCTGCTGTCATATCATTAAATTATTTTTATTAAATAAAAACAGCCAAAATGTGGTAATGCATATCCTAGGTCATTTAAGGATAAGAAAAAAATTGTAATGGTTTGTTAAACTATCAGTTTGAATTACATTCATGTTTATGCTGCTTAAATATAGAAATCAGACAGATGCTGTTTTCTGCAGCAGATTTTTTTTCCTCTTACGTGCATAAAAACACAAAAATGCACAATGGAAAACAATACATTTTATGCAAACCTGTAATATATAATACGCAAATAGTGCAAACCTACTTTTTGGGTTGAATTCTCTCTTAATTTACCAGTTATTAAAAGTAGGGGTGTAAGAAAATATCGATATACGAGGTCATGCCTCGAACGCATCGGCTAAACAGGAAAACTTATCGGCTAATGCCGATATTTAAAAAATGCCAAATATCGGTCGACCACTACTCTAGTCAATGCTTGTGTTTATAGCAGCCGCGCCGCGGCACGTTCCAGAAGCGGCTCTCCGCGCTGCTTCTCTAAAGATAGGCGCCTAGTCTATTTTTGACGGATGCCGCGTCCAAGCTGCACATAATTAGATAATTGAGGATGTGTTTTAAATAGTGGTTCAACGGATCACAGATCTCACGGTTTGGATCACATTACGGTTTTTGACCCACGGATCGGATCATTTTTCGGATCAGCAAGAAAAGAAAAATTTCAATTTAACTTGCTTTCCATTTATTACTTAAAGGGAAGTACTTCTTTGATACCACAGCAAATACTACTAGATTAACTAAGAAAGTTTAAACATGATTAAAGAGACAAGAGGACAGCCAGTAAAAATAAGAATACATACACAAATTACAAGCATAGATAAATACAACAGAATATGTTACAAATAAAATAAGGTTGGTAGTATTCAAATACATAAATGTAATAATTATGGAAAATAACACTGCATGGTGTTCACTGTAGAAATTAAATATAGATTTTTATCACAGCTGTTTTGTTGTTTGATGATCATTAATGACAGCAGCAGTATTTATAGGCCGCTGTCCCTTTAAGACCTGATGCACGGATCCGATAATGATACACATCATCCGATTTCTTTCTCAGCTGTTTTCATTCAAGCAGTATTTATAGGCCGCTGTCCCTTTAAGACCTGATGCACGGATCCGATATAATGATACACATCACATCCAATTTATTTCTCAGCTGTTTTCATTCACTTCAGACATAACTGCGTGCGTTTACCTGAATGATTGTCGAGATGGGTATTTTGTCATAATTTTATGTGTATGTGTCTGTTCAGAGGATTCAGAAGAGGATTTAGTTCGGTGTTCGCGTGCTGTCTGAAACGCGCGTGCCCGCTTCATGTGTGTGCGCGTAGAGAACAGAACAGCGCGCGAGTAACTAATCGAGTTTCCTTTCTCCTTTTCTCTCTGGAATTGTTTAAAATTCGCTTGCTTGTGCAAATACAAACAAATGATAAACGTATACTCTATTATGTTATCTATTATGGTTAAATTTTGCAATTAATCCGCGATCACATGCGTGCCAAACCGTGGGGCTTGGTCCGTATGGATCACGGATCAACTACGATCCGTTTAACCACTAGTTTTAAACAACTAAAAACAGCTACAAATCTTTTATCCTCGACGTTCATAACTAGACTTTGATATGATGCAAGTCATGAAGCGCACTTTTACTTTTGGAGTGAATTTGCATTTAATTTTCTCCACTGCATTCACACACTGCCACTCTCCACGCATGTGTGTGTGTGTTCACGTGTGCTCATGTTCTTCACGTTCTTCCTGCAAACACTTTATTTCTCATTGATATTAAGCAGATGTACTAATTCTTTTGTTCAGATCAAAATGTTATGACGTATGTTAGAATTTTAAACTTAAACTGTGAACCTTTAAAGCAGGGTCTAAAATATATATGGTCTGTTTATAACCGCTTACATTTTATACATTTAATTTAACTAAAGAATCCTGCAAGCACTTTATTTCTCCCCCTTTACTCGCACTGCAAAAAAAGTGGTTTAATGATGTTGAATGTTACAGGGACTAATTAATGCAAATGCAGATCCCACTGTGTTCTGGTTAAATAACTTTTTTTTTTTTAAGATTTGCATATGTTGAAGTGTTCTTAATGACAGCTTTCCTAAAATGATCCTTTTCCTAATATAAGAAATATTCCAATATATCGCCTTGCTTACAGTATCGCAA